AGAGTTCATGTTCAGTTGTCTGCTGTAGATGTACAGGATATATGGATTTAAATACAAAAATACCAATGGTAAAATATTTTGTACGTGTTCCTATATTTCGGGCTGTTGTAGCATATGATACCCAAAACCTCCTATTACCCGGTGCTAATGATATATTCCTACTTTTTAGGTATAATATTTTATATGATTATTGTATCAACATAAACGATTTAGAAAAGGGACAATATCCGCCTCAACTTTCTACAATTCGTATCTACAAATATATCGTCCAGAAGAAAATATTAATGCATTGATTTCCCCTTAAATTAATTTGGAGATAACATTCTAACATTTACAACTGTAGACGTTGCCATTATCTTTTTATAACAATTATTGCAAGGCATGTACATTTGTCAATGAATTAACAAAATAGTGATGGCATGTATGGATTTCATGACGTTTACAACAAAATGTATTATATTTTTATTCCATTTTTTGTTTAAAATAAATCACTAAAATATATATATATATATATATATGGTTTAATATTAAAGTTAAATTCTATGTCGATTTAGGCTATTGGCATTACAGGGTTTTAGAGGATAAATATATCATGGTTGAAAATTGTCTGTCTGGTTGATCTGTATTGCTGTATTTTCAAACCAGATTGAATGTTATTTTGAATTTGTGGGTTTAGAAAGTGAAACATCAAAGCCAAAAAGGTCATATGCACACAATACCAGATTTATATTAATAATTAAGAGGATGCAAAATATCAATATCAAAGCTTTCGTGCCATGTACGGCATTTTAAATATCCTAGCCACATATCTATCCGAATTTCCTGTAATTTGATATTTCTGAATTTATTTCATATTTCCAGGTTTCATTGCCGGAGATATCAAATTGGTTGTGCACTTCAGGGCCCGGGGCCGTAAAACACTTAATATATAAGTCCCTCACCTTTTTAGGTATTAAGAACGGTATTCTCTCATTCCTGATGCTTATCTCCTATACATGTGTTCGGCTCCATTTTCTTTGTTTTGATATTTCAATAAAAGTGTATATTTTAATATAACTCCCATATACCGAGCCCGCCCCATTTTGGGTATCTTTCCACTAATTTGTTACTTTTGCTTTATGACACCTCCAACTCATCACTGTTCGCGACAACGCTTATCGTCACAACACGAACAAACAAACGTTCAAAAATTCAAAAACTGATAAGAATGTTTTACGAATATATTCGTCCATAACTGATTTTGTTTTTCCGATTAGTATCACAAACAAGACGATTGAATTTGGTATGGAATTATCAAGCGTTATGTCGAACGCTTAACTGTTTGATAATACAAATGTACGCCATTACACTACTAACGGTAATACTGAGTGGTCATTTGCCGTTAATAACAGATTCCGCGCGAGTTCTATCGATTTTACCCTTTCCGGGACCAAGACAATATGAATTTATACAACCATTGCTGCAGGAGTTGGCCCACCGGGGCCATCACATAACATCTGTGAATAATTTCCCCCTGAAAGAACCAATAGAGAATTTTCGAGATATTGTCATAGAAAATAATTTGCATTTATTTGTTGGTGAGTGCGTATTTTTTCAAAAATAAACTTAAATACATAATAAAGAAATTAACTTCTTTCTAGATTTTAAAAACTTCACCACAGATAACATCAAAAGCAATTATTTTAATACAATTGAAAAGTTTTATGATCGTTCACATAAAATGTCATGCAATGTATTTGTTGATCCGCATTTTAAAGCAATAATGGCGAAGGAATCATTTGATTTAATAATTGTGGACATAACTTTCGCGGAAGCCTTCTATGGCTTGGGTGAATATTTTGAAGCACCAATGGTGGCCGTATCCTATTGGAGTGCACTGACCTCAATCGATGAACTGGTTGGAAATACCACACCCCTGTCCTATATACCAAATATGATTATGATGCGAAAATATAATCAAAATATGAATTTTTGGAGACGATGGTTGAATGTCATAGTTTTTATTTTTGACTGGATATACTATTATTTACGATATATGCCCATACAACGGAAGCTATATGAGGAACAATTTCCCAATGCCACATTGACTTTAGATGAGGCACAAAAGAATTTTTCATTGGTCCTGTTAAACGATCATTATACCATTACCACACCGAGGCCATATGTACCAAATATGATTGAAGTGGCAGGTTTGCATATACCCTCACAGCCGAGACCTATTCCAGAGGATATTAAAAAATTACTAGATGACAGCCCCCAGGGTGTCATATATCTAAAACTAAATTCCCTATTACCTGAATATATTATGCAAATGATTTTGAATCAATTGGGACAATACCGACAATTGGTGATATGGAATAGCAAATACAAGCCATGGCACACTTTAAGTGTACCTTCCAACATTCAATTCCATCAAGATCTATCCCACCACTCGCTGCTATCACATCCCAATATTTATCTCTTCATCTCACATGGTGATTATCTACATATTATCGATAGCATATACTATGGGGTGCCAATTTTGGGTATACCCCGCTACGATGGCTATCATGATGATTATGTTGATAACATTCGAAAAATTGGTAATGGTATCTCGTTGACATTTCGGCACTTCAATGAGAAATCATTGAATTTGGTTCTAAAAGATTTATTGGGTACAACGCATTATCGCCGGGAGGCGAAACGGAAATCTCAAATATTTCGTGATCAACAGAATACACCAATGGAAAACGCCATCTATTGGATTGAACACATCATCAAATATAAAGGAGCTAAACATATGCGAAATTTGGGTCAGAATTTAAATGTTTGGGAGTTTTATAATTTAGATGTTTTCGCCAGTATGATTTGTATTATTTTAGCTGTAATATTTTCAGCATATTTATGCTTGAATGTAGTATTGAGATTTTTGTTGGATTTAAAAAAATTAAAGAAGAAAGTAATGTAGATTTGTGTGTTTTACTATTTTGATTTTCAAGGATTGTTGAGCGATATACGCCTATTTGTCATTGTCATGCTTGCCTTATTTACCTAATCCAACATTTTTAAATATACACCGTATATAAAATTTTTACCTCAAAATAAAAAATAAGTAACTTGTTTAGCACATATTGTAATTGTTATTTAGTGAAGTAAATATATTTCGGAAAACAGAAGCTAGGTGATCTTCGATGAACTATTACCACACCTGCTAAAGGTTCGTAACACATGCTAAAATATTAAAATTTTAGTTTTAAAACTAACTCGCACGAACGACATTTATTTTAAATATAAATTTATTCTGTTTAAAAATGTGCGAATTGCTTATCATTATTGTTAATAAAAATAAAAAGAATTCTGGTACATAAAAATAAATATTTAGTTTCTGACTGTAATAGCTTTATAGCACATTAATAAACTCCATTAAGTCCATATTTCACTAAATTTTTCTTCAGTACTCTACTACTACTCTTTCCATTGCATTATAAAGTCCAGCTTGTCTGTATAGAGACCGATTAAAAGTATGTATATGCCATATGTATAGAAACCACAGGTCAGTAAGGAAGCCAAAGGTATGTATAAATACCAATTGGTCTGTGTATAGAACACAGGGGTTGGCCTGTATAGAGACCATAGCGTTTTATACGTACCAATTGGTCTGTACAGAGACCACAGGGCTGCTGAGAGACCATAGCTATGTATAAAGACCCATTAGTCTGTATGGAACAAACCGAGGTTTATTAAGACCAATTGGTCTTTACATCTCTTTACTAAAAACCTATAAAGAAAGTAGTAAAGGCACACCGGTCCGACTGTATGACATCCTTCACCACTTGGGGTATATTCTACATATGTATCCTAAGCAGTGTTGCCAATTTAGCACTTTTAGTGCTAGATTTAGCACTTTTGAAACTAGTTTAGCACCAAAAAAATTGATCTAGCACCTAGCACCTTTTTTAGCATTTTTATTTTTTTCTGTAATTAGTTAAAATTTTGCGTATTATTTCGATTTCACATTGACGCATTAAAATGTCCCTATGATTCACGATATGATTTCAATTTTCCAATGTTATTAACGTTCGGATGGCCAGAATTATTTGCAGTGTATTAAAATTTTCTCAAAAAATGGTAGGGTACGTCATATACTTACTATAGCATCGCCGGCTAGTAGGTTGTTTATTAGATAAAATGAAAAACCAAATTAAGAGCGGTGTAAAAATCATGAACCTAAATCGGAAAGGAGTTCTTTATTCATCGGGAATCCCGAATGCCAAATTGTTGCCATTTCAGAGTACCGAAAATGGGTCGCGTCCCACTTTAAAATGGGGTTATACAATTCGTCGGTAAAGGGTTCTAATCCTTAAAGGACACAAATAGGATAGAACCTTTATATGGACCTATCTAGAAAATTGTCCGACTAAATATATCCTAACCTACGAGAATACAGATAATACGGCTAAAACCTTCCAAATAAAGAAGGTAGAGCAGTACTTTAATATGAGTTCTATGTACCTTGACAATTTTCTGCATATATGCCATTCTCCGAAACCCCACAAAATCCGTTATTAATATTTTTAGTGGAAAAATTTGACACACCATTAAAATCAAAATATTAAAATTTTGGTCAATTTGATAACAAAAAAACTTGCTCGACGACCCTAAAATGCCGTTCTCTAGGGCCTACCTCGAAACATAGACCCACATTGATAATTTTTGGTAGGGACATTTTACCTAATAAGAATACAAAATATCAAAATACCATTCTCGGTTTTAAAAAATTTAATTTTGATTTAATTTGAATTTACACTAATTCAAGAACGTCCCTATGAAATTTCAAGTGAAAATCGAAACAACTCTTGAAGATATATGCGATTTATTGTGCTATCATCAAGTGACGGCAAGTGGGCTTCTCAAACTTTAAAGGCATTTTTCTCCAAAAAGCTAATAATCCGATCGATTCCAATTTTTGGGACTTTTCTCTGTGAGTGTATAGGTATCGTATGAACTTTGATAAATCCAATCAAGATCTTCCATATTTTTAATATGGTTTGTGGTAAAAAAATAGGCGGTTTTTCAAAAATATTTGTTTTAAGGTCCGCCATTTTGTTGATTTTTGAGCGAAGCCAATAATCCTAGTTCATACGACAGCAACAACAAAACAATAGCAAAAAAAAAATTAAATTTTTTATTTTTGTTTAAATCTTCAAATATATATCTGCAAAGTTACAAACCTTAACAAGCTTTTGTACTGATTTACCAGCCCATTGAAAATCTTGAAAATTTAAAATCGGGAATGGGGTGCTGGGGATGCACTTTTATGTGGCACTTTTTAAAATTTTTTAGCACTTTCTAGCACTTTTTTAAGCAAAATCTAGCATTTTTTATCAACAATGTTTTGGCAACACTGATCCTAAGAGACGTTGCTTTTTCAAAGGAACACTGACATGAAATTGTACGAACTTAAATATGAGATCTTTATCTATAAGTGAATCGACAAACATCAATCCATAAACATACCTTTCTGCAACCCATGTTCAATTTCATTTCATTCGGGCAGATTTAGAACCGTTTGGGTAGAATGGCACGATGGTAAATTGCACTGTTTAAAATTTAATCTCAATCAGACACTTGTTCGAAATATATATGGAAGCTATGTTGGCATCTGCACCAATTTCAACAAAACGCAATAACGTCATTCTAGTCTCAATTTGATACGTTCTGCAAAATTTCGTGTCAATCGGAGAAACCTTAGGAGTTTGGATCACCATTTACCTAAATCGGACGAAAATATATATGTGAGCTATATCTAAGTTTTAACCGATTTCAACGAAACTTGTCAGAGATTATTTTATACATCTTCAGTATATTGTGCAAAATTGTGTGCCAATCTATATATATATATATATATATAAGAGATCTATATCTAAATCTGCACCGATTTTTATACAAATCATTCTAGACTTAACCCAGTATGCTATGTAAAACTTCGTGCAAATTGAAAAATATATAGGGACTTTGGTGCACTATTTACATTAAATCGAACAAAAATATATGTCGGAGCTACGTCTAATTCTAACCCGATTTCAACAAAAGTTTGCATACATCAATCTGAACCTATTTCAGTATGCCGTGCAAATCGAAGGATATATACAGTCGACTCCGCTTTACTGAAACGGAAAAAATCTGGATGTTTGTTTCATTTATCCGATGTTTCCACTAAAGCGGAGTTCGGTTAACTGAAAATAATTTCAGTTATCCGAACATCTCATAAGCGAACAATTTTTCAGTTTAAGGAATTTCAGTAATTCATGATTTATATCTAATACGTAGGTTTCGAATTTTATGAAAATAGACGATCGAAATTGAAACTGGTTGAGATGTTCACTGCTAAAGGGATTTTTATTGTGAACTGTCTTGTTTATGCGTGTTATTAAAGTGCCCGGCTTGTAACGAATCTTAGATAATAATTGGTCTATAATATTATATTTATGATAGATTGATTGATTTTGAAAACGGAAAAGATCGGTCCATGTCTTTGAAAAGGTTTCATACTAGTCGTGTTAAGTCTTTTTAAAAGCTAACTTGCCTGTAATATGGGGAATAAGTAACATATTTCTTTGCAATATTTGTTCATTGCAGATTCGACGACCTCCTCAAAATTTTGTTAATTATATGGGAACTCGTTTTAACATTTCCCCTATGAATGGTACATTTTGTAACATATCTTGGTAGATCTCTGTTACTTGTATATAAAATATAGAAATGCGGAACAGATTTTTTGCGAATTTTCCAAATGTGTTAAAAAGTTTGGCCGCACGAATACTTGATGAATACTTGACTAACACGTTCCATACGTCGGAAAAATCTTTAATTGCAGAAAAATATATGTTATGGTGGGCTTAGAAGATGTGATTCCTCATTGCAAAATATTCTGTCATTATCTTTCATTCTCATGATTTTCAGTAATACGGAGTAATTTGAAAGGAAATTGCATTATTTGACTCCAAAAGCTATTTCAGTTATTCGATATTTTCAGTTATGCGAAGTTTCACTTATGCGGAGTAAATTGTGGGCGATTAACCTAAAATGTAATGGTGCAGGAAATCAATTTCACTTATCCGATATTTTTCAGTTAAGCGACTTACAGTAAAGCGGAGTCGTCTGTAGGGACTATGGCGCTCCATTTACCTTAAATCGGACGAAAATATATATGGAAGATATATCTAAATCTGAACCGATTTTTTCAAATTTCAATAGGGTTCGTCCTTGACATGCACACAACGACTCAGCCAGTAATTCTATGTATATTCTCAAAATAATGTCTCCATGTGTCTATCTCTATGCACAAAGACATAATATCTTGTACCACAGTGTGGTGAAGGGTATACAAATTTTACTACCCAAAATAATCAATATTGATGTGTAGCCCCCATAAAACCCCTGTTCCGCTATTAGGTAATCATATTTTCTCACGTTTTTTTTCGGTTTATTCAAGGTCCTATCATAACATGAGTTTTCTCCTTGGAGCACCCAATAATTTTACATGTTTTGAAAGCCATCCTTATGGTGGAGTGTAAAACAGTTCGGCCGGGTCGAACTTAACATCTTTGTAACTTTTTTTATATTTCAAATTCTCATTGCGTAGAAAATCTCCCCACAAAAATTGATCAATATTGGCTCATGATCAAAGTTAGTTTATGGTTTCGTATATCTCCCATGGAATAGTATCATCCTATTTCCCAAAATTACAGTCGATTTCATGCGGCTGTAGTTTTTTATAAAAGGAAAAAAATTGTACGGAAAATTGTCTATATGGGTCCTAGTTTTGATATAACCCCCACAAAAAGTTTCGCCCCATTTTTCGGTATTAATTTGTTTGGTACGTTGAAAATTTTAGCGGCGTTTTCTCACCGATGTGGCTGTAATTCGATATAATGGGAAACAGATTTGTGCGGAAAATTGCCTGCG